AAATCTTTATCACTATATCACCTGCACTATGTTTGTAATTAGACCGAACCGATATGGTACCCCTAGTATTACGTGAAAGTTAGATTTACTTGAAAATTTTTAGAGACCATAAGTATACGTCGTTGTTCAGTTCTTATTATATTTTTATAATAATTTTAAAACAAGATTAAAATTTTATAATGTTTAGCTTTATTACAATCACAAAATTTCTGCTTCTTTCATTCTTTATTTTATCTAGTCAGCAATTTTTACTTTTCGTTAGCAATTCTACGATATAAGAAGTTAAAAAAATGTACACTTAAAAAAAAAGTATGGTCCCTAATGATTATTCTTTATTTAAGAAAAACTCGTGACCCTTGGATCGCATAGAACGTGTGTAAGGCGATAGCCGTATGAACTCCAAGATCGAACTGTAACACAAAACGACCAAATGCCGAATAAATCGTAGAACTGCAAAATGCCCTACCATTTGTGTACCTAAAATAGTAAAGCAATCTACATTAATCCGATTTTCAAAATGACGGCTAAAAAGAGACAATGTGTCAATATTGCCTTGTGAAGATAAGCTCAAGGTTGTGTGCAAGTGTCTTCATGTGCTTCATTGATCTTTCGTGGGTGAAAATGTTTGTTGTAAGTAGTGATGGGTCACGCGCGGGGTTTTTTTAGATCCCGCGCGGGATTTTTAATATGAGATTATTTGGCATGCATTAGTATATCATCTGGCCTGAATTAAATATCATCCGGTCTGCATTAACATTAATGAGCCAATTCCTAAGACTGGAGTAAAATCGCCACCCAAAAAAGTTTCGAACGTCACGTAACAAATATATCGAGCACTAAAAATTCATGTAGCTTAAAAAAATACTAAAAAAAAATTTAAACGAGCAAGGTTTCAATCGGTGAAAAATGATTTTTTACATGAATTTTGGGTGACTGTTTTACCCCTGTCTGTATTTCTACGTACGTAGAATTTTTTATTTGTTTATCATTCTATATACATATGCGTAAACTTGGTTAAAATTTTTTTTGCCGTTGATAGTTCTTACTTACTATTCCTTTATAATAAATATAACCATTATTAAGTCATTCTTTAAACAACATTATTATAACATAGGTGTTAATAAACCGATTTGACATCATTTTCAAATGCTAAATTTATTTAAAATATATTATTTTAACAAGAAATTATTAATTATTTTTATATATATTTTTATAATTCATGAAAAATTAAAAAACTTTACTATATTCCGCAAATCCCGCGCGGGTTTTTTAAAAACTGCGATTTGCCCATCACTAGTTGTAAGCAAGATAGAAATGCAAAATGATAGAGATAATAAAGACTGTGGTAGAATGTTAGTCGATACGACTTAAGCTAAAAAGATAATAGATGCTTCAAAGTTCTTCTCTGTAATTTGTTATAAATAGCGGCAAGTTTTTTCTTTTATAAAGTGTGTGTACCTGCCATAAAATATTCTTTAATAAAGTCCTTAATAAAAGACCTAACTTAGCAAACGCTCTTTAAAGCCTTAACAATATTACCTTACCATAAACTTACTCGACTACCGTCAAATCGAATCCGCCTCTACCGTTGAGTGACGTCCAAGAAATCGAAGCGACAATTCGTTGCATTTATTTTTTGAGTTGTGTGTAGAGAGAGCACTTACCGGGGTCAGAAAATACCGACCCGGCCCTACAAAAAAAGCACATTTGTATTAGCTGTATATTGTGACTGCATAAAATCTATGGTAAAATATATCAAACACTGTAGCTTTCAATATATTTCTATACAACGTATATTTTCTAGGTAAACTTTTTTTTTACAGGATGGACGGGGTCAGATCTTGACCCGGGTCAATTGTTCATACAGAAAATCATAAAGTTTTTAAAGTAAACTCTTAAAAGTTAATGTAATGACTCTTTATTAGAGCCATTGGGTATAGAAGGTACTCTGTACTTCAAATATTTAAACCAGAACTTTTTGAACTTTGTACTGAAAATTTTTTTGACTTTGCTCGTAATTTGAGTTCGTACTTTGACTATGTTTCCCATTATTTAGCTTATGAATTTGACTCTGTCAGGCCATATATCGATACTTATTAAGTTAATTGCGTGATATAGCATTTTAGTAGGTTTTGCCTATTTTGAATTCTGACCCGTTTGACCTGGGTTAGAGAAATTTTCGACCCGTGACTTGGGTAATAGTTTTAGTTGTGTTATGACCTCTCTGCCTGTAACAATATAAACTTAATATAATATATATAGGAAATTTATCTCACTAAATAATGGATATAGCTTTGATTGGGGTATAAGCTAAGTAGATATATAATTAATGCTTAGCTGTAGAAGAACTTGGGAATCGTTTAATGTCAATATTATTATGTCTCTTGATTATGATGACAAACTAAACTCGACATGTTATTATTACTAATTTTCGGTTAAGTTATAAGTATATACTAGTACGCGATCATACAGTACAGCTCATTGAGTCATAGAAAAAGTAATCACCGATAAGTCAGGATATCATTGTTACTAATCTTTGTTGTAACATTGTATTTATTACGCGTCATTCTTCATTTATTTGTAATAATAATGTGTTGTTATGCCGATTTGTAATTAAACTTATGTTTAAATTCAACCTCTACTGATTGAAAAATGGATCGGGTCTATCCTTAGCACTTATCATGAGATTTGTATAATAAAGCCAATGGTGATGATGTTCCGAAATTGACATATTCATTATAAATTTAAGGATAACGTACGTTATTTAGCAATCGGTTACAGCAGAGACAGTGTCCGACCCCTATCGCCTGTGATCAATCACAAGTTAAATTATTTATGTTGAACAATTGTGATGGATATAATCCCTCACCAGTTTTAATATGAACGGTCTCTGCTGTAGTAATGGTAAATTTAATAGTATAAATTTATATACGCACATAATAGTCTTATGTATAAAATTTTCTGTTACATAGATTTAAAGCAATAAAAATAATAACTTTTTTTTTACATTGACCATGATCACATCGTCTTGTACATCATAATTTATTCTTTTATAAGTGCAAACTTTAGTGTTATAGCTTGAGTTTTAAAAACTATAGCAATTAACCTTCATCAACGATCGAACGAATTGGTAAAATTTTCTTAAAGACTTGCCTGATGATATACAAACAATATCTTCAGCTTTGCAGTATCATTGACCTCCACTTAATAATCGATTGACTATTAATACGTATTATATTGCAAAGTAAAATATTACCTATTATTAATAGATAATTAATACTATCTTTATAAAAAAAACCTGGTTTATATCTGCTTATTTATTATTATATTGTTCTGCCTTATTATAAAACAGCCCTTGTAAACTTTTATTTAATTAACTAATGTAAGGCTTTGACCTGCGTCAGGTTACCCATATGGTCACCCAAACTAATGGATCACACAGGTAAAAAATTGCTTTGCTTGGGTCAAACAGGGCAAAATTCAAATAAGAAAAAAGACTATATTACACAATTTAACTGCATAGGTAGAAGACGCTATGATTTACTAAATAGTAAAGCTATTTTTGACCTGAGTGGGTTGAGCAGTACAAGGTTAAATAGGTTAGTATTCAAATATATATAACTTACAAAAAAATTGCATATAACCACATAGCATTTTTTTTTATTAAAATATATACATTTATTTACTTTTGTTTGATCATTTTAGCAATATTATTAACATTTTATTATTTAATAATAAGTAATTTTATACTTTCTTTAAAAAAATTAGTTGGCTTTTATATATATATAAATTTTATAATCTTATTATAAATCTTTTTTTAAACTCACCTAGTTATTAAAAAATATTTTTTACAAGCTTTCAATTTTGACCTTATCGGATTATAAAAATCAATTTATTAATTTTACATAACCTTATCAACAAATTTTAATCATTGTTTATAATTAATAATATAAGTCATACATTCTTAATATTAAAATACCCTTTAATCTTGTTATTTATAAAATTATAAGCAATTAAATTGCTATCAATATTATCAATTAATCCTAAAATTTTCAACCTCTGAAACGATTTCTCTCCTATCAATAAGCTTAGAAGTATACATCATATTATCATATGCTTGTGAGGTAATTGGCAATTCTTTGATTGATTTATCAGCTTCTAAAAATTGCCGCTTGATCTCTTCATCTGGATCAATACATTGTTTGTCTAATTTAACATTACTATCACTGACGGCTATAATTTTTTTCCATTTTTTAAGTTTGTTAAAAATCCCAACAGCAGTAGATTCTTTATTCATATCTGATTTAACAATACTGTTACTAGCAATGATGCGTTTCCATTTTTCAAGTATATTAGTAATCTCAAAAGCCGTAGGTCTTTTTTTTATATCTGAATTAATGCATTGTTTGGCTAATTGAACATAACATTTTGGTGTCTTTAGAATAAACTCAGGTCGTAATCCATGACAAATCATTGCCGCTAATTCAGAATCAAAATTGTAACCATCGAAAGGTCTTCGACCGGTTAATATTTCAATCATAATAATTCCAAAACTATAAATATCAACAGTTTGAGTGCAACATTCACCTTTCAAGATCTCAGGCGCTAAATATGGCAAAACACCATAAATGTGACTATCTTGTTTTTCGTCAACTGATATTGATGAACTTAAATCAATATAAGGTTCATATCGTTCTTTTAATAAAATATTACCAGGATGTAAATTTCGATGTATTAAGTTTTTAGAATGAAAATTTGATAGATCATTAATGATATCGCATAATATTTTAAGTTTAATTTTCCACTCCGATTTAAATATCTCGTTAAGATTGTCACGTAATGATCCAAATTTTGCGTAACTTAACACTAAAATCAAATCTCCTGTATTTTTATCCATTGATATGCCTTTATATTTCCCAAATTCGTGATACACCTTTAACTAATTCATAAACAAGGTATACTTAATTAATTTATACTTAATTAATAAACATTATATAAATTTACACGTAAAAATAAAATACCTCGTTTAAAAAATGTTGTTTATCTTTATGCGAATCTTTTATTATCTTGATTGCAATATCTTCATTCGTTCCATATTGTCTTTTGTATGATGTTTTATACACTACGGAAAATCCTCCTTTACCTACTTCTACAATATTTCTAAAATTGTCGTATTCTATCCATCGGAAATAGTTGTTATCATTAATACATCTATGTTCAGTAATTGCTGATTTCAAATACCATTCAAATGCCAAATTTTTATTCTTTTCTACTCCAATCCCATCTTGATAACATTCCCCAACATGGTACATTCCACAGCAAAATCCATATTCGGCACTTTTTAAATAATATTCAAAAGCCTTTCGTTCATCCTTTTCAATTCCGATTCCAAATCGATAACAAATACCAACATTATATGCTCCTTTTGCGAACTTCATCTCTGCAGATTTTTGATAATAAATGAATGCCTTATGTTCATCCCTTTCAACTCCAATTCTTTTTTCATAACAATATCCAAAAGTACATGTTCCAACAGCGTTCCCCATCTCTGCAGATTTTTGATAATAAATGAATGCTTTATGTTCATCCTTTTTAACTCCAATCCCATGTCGATAACAATATCCAACACGTGATGTTCCATAAGCATCTCCCATTTCTGCAGATTTTTGATAATAAATAAATGCCTTATATTCATTTTTTTCAACCCATTTACCAGCATCGTAACAAGTTGCAAGAATGAATTGAACCATAGGATCTGATTCATTATCTAAGCAATATTTTATAATAGTATCTGGATTTTGTTTTCTTTTTATTAGAACTGATTCCAAGACATTAACACAAGTGTTAAAACTTCTGCCTTTCATAATTTCTTCAATATACAAATCATGCATTTCTTTAATAATTTCATTGAGAAAATTCTGTGACATGTCTTCTAAACACAATTGATTAATTTCGTTGGATATTTTAGTAACATTTGATGTGTTGTTGTTATTTTCCGGTTGTTTTGCATTTGACATTTTGACGTAACGTAAGAATATAGATCTAGTCAAAATTTATTGAGATGTGCTTTATCGTTATTCGTTCATTTATGTACCTGTATCACGCAATGTAACACCTTTTAACGAATTTGGTACTGATTAAGAGCAATTGCCTCACTAATCAGCAGTACGTATACGTACTTTATTTAACTGATAAAAATGGTAAACCGATAATTGTACAAATTGTTTAAAAATAGAAAATGTAACTGTTATGCGCTAATAACCAAAAATAAGAAAACTTGCAAAGTTTGATTTTTAAGCCCTTTTTCACTTTTTTTAGAAAATTCTTATCACAAGTAACTAGTAAGCGAATCAGGAAAGAACAAGATACGTATAACTTGCGTTTATTTACAAATAGCATATTTTTTATATAAGCCGCTTTTCCTAATATAGGGTGATCTACACATTGAATAAACTGTACGTATTACCGATATAAATAGTAATCAACCGCATAAAAAAACTAATCCACCGATCACTATATCAAGATCACGGGAGGATTAATTAATAATACCCTGATCGTATGTGAATAAGCGGAAAC